TGGACTAATATAACATTCAGTAGTCTTCAGCAACATCATAACAGAGTGAGGCACTGAGACAGTGGTCCTATGTGTGAGAACAAAGGCACATGGCCATTAGGCCATAGGATAGTCTATCTCGCTCTACTAGAACTCTTGTTCATTCTCCTCCCTTTCTGAGGGTTTGGCTATAAAAGGCTCAGTAACACAATCTTGCGCTCCATATGCATCCATGGGCTACTATCACTACCCCTCCAGAATGACCACAACAGTGGACCTATTTTTATAATAAAAGTGTTGGGTTGACCCTCCCTTGGTTCTTCAATCCTGACTTGTTTCCTACTTCTCTGGAACAGAAGAACTTAAAGAATTTTCTGTACTAACAGTTAAAAGTGTCCAGTGAAAATTAGATTATATGATACCACATGTCTTATTCTAGTTCTTATATACATTCGCATACATATATATATTCACAATATAAGACAGGAAAAGTTCTGATTCACACATTATGAAGTACACAGTTTAGGTCTGGAGTCCCCATCCTGTATAGTAGTACCATGTGAGTTGCTCATTCTACTTACTTCTCACATGTGCAGTGCCCAGTTTGGATCGCAACTGCAGTGTTCCTGACCTTTAAAAAGTCTACGGAGAACCTACAACTCATCCGTGACTGTCACAAGACCCAGGACAGGAACCCTGGACCCAACTTGTGTACTCCATAATATGTGAATTGATTCCTACTGACCAACTGAGGAAAATACTACCGATATGTTTTTTGTTCTGTATTAAATACAGAAGTATAAAGAAAAACAGGGGGCCAAGTCAGTCCCACATTGCATCCTTCCCTCGCCTTCTTTCACATGCCTCTTCATTCATGAGTCTCCTACTGCCAACCTTTCCCCCATGTGTTGTCCTCAATGATAGTTGCACAGACCCAAAGGTGTGCAGAGGCCATACCCCCACCTCATTATTTAAAGGTGAAATGGCATGAAATGGTCCCAAGCTATCCATGAAGTTTATCACATTGCTGAGATAATGGAGGCGAGGCTTTTTGTGAACCATGAAAAATCACAACATAAATATTCACAACAACTATTCTGAAAATAATCCCAATATTATAAAGTTCACAATCCTTACTCAAGGAAAAGTAAACTTCCAGTAGCCAATCAATACTGTACCTGCATGGAAAAATGAAAAGGGGACTGCAACTCTGAATCAAAATGCCACTGAAATTTTACTACAAGCTAAGCCTAGGTAGGGAGCTGCGGTGGCTCAAGTGGTTAAGATGCTGAACTGCAGGCTGTGGAAGGTCAGTAGTTCAACAGTTTGAGACCTGAGTTGCCGCATGACAGAGTGAGCTCCCATCTCTAGTTCCAGCTCCTGCCAACCTAGCAGTTCGAAAGCAAGAAATTGCAAATAGATAAATAGGTACCACTTCGGTGGGAAGGTAACAGCGTTCCGTGCGCCTTGGTGCCATGCCGGCCACATGACCATGGAAACGTCTTCGGACAGCACTGGCTCTTCGGCTTTGAAATGGAGATGAGCACCGCAATCCTAGAGTCAGACTCGACTGGCTTTCGAGCAAGGGAAACCTTTACCTTTTAAGCCTCGGTAACTGGGGACTTGGGTGTCTGCCCCAGCATCGCCCCAAGTTCCAAAGCAACTCATGTCCCTTTATACGCACTGATTGCTTTCTCCCACAAGAGCCAAGAGACAAGCAAAGGTTGCTTTAACTCCCTCTTCCCCAGTGCGAGCAGTCACAAAGGCTTTGGTAGATCTCTCTGCTTATTATGTCCCTCAGCTGGTCACTCAGACACCGAGAAGGTAGGGCTAACCCTTGACCTAATGCATCGCTGTGCAAGGAATATCTTTAAGATGTCAAGCTCCAGGTGACACCGGGAGATCTCTCACTATTACAGTTGATCTCCATATGGCAGAGAAATGGCTGATTTCAATGATGCATTCTGTGGCATTCAAGGGTGCATTCTGTGGCATTGTACCCTGCTGAGGCCCGTCCTCTCCCCAAATCCCACTCTTCCCAGGATCCACCCCCAAAATCTCCAGGTATTTTGCAACCCAGGACTGGCAACCCTAAATAACTTTACCTGCCTCAAAATACGGCCCCAGGGTAAAGGATTCGTATTGAGTATAGATATTTATGAGGAGAACTGTGCCAAAGCCCCTCGTGGTGGCCATGCTGGTGACGTGGGTTTTAAGAAGCCCTTTGCCAGTGTTTCAGTTCAGGAAACCAGCAGCGGAGTCAACCTTACTAGCCCTTCAGCTCTCAGTCAATTCAAAATATGACTCTTTTTAATATTATTTATCAAGCTTAGAGAGCAGTGGGAGGGGGAGTCAAATAAATCTGAGATAATGTTTTGCAGTTTTGCATCCCAACAAAGAAAAGGGGAAAGAAAAGATCTCTTCCAGCCGTAAAAGCAACCAGCTTCCTTCCGTCTGGAGAGATGAGAAAACGGTTGCGAGTCGAAAGAAAAGCTCTGAAGACTGGGAAGCTTGTGATACACTGAATAAGCACTCAGTTGCTGTGGGAATGCCACAAAGGGGGAGCGGAGAACAGTGCTCTTTTTGTTCATACATTCTTATGTTCCACAGCTCTTCAACGGCTGAGCTCTAAGACCAGACGGACACGGGCTTGCAATGGACAAAGAGTCAAGTTGAAAATAGTCTGGCACGCAGAGAAAAGAACACGTAGCAATGTTCTTTGCATCCGTGCGACAGACATCCTTTCAGATGCCTGAAGCTCCACAAAGGTTTATTTGCTAAAAAACTGCAATGGGTTGGATCCAGCCAGTTTTGTCACTCCGTCTCATCCAATTCCTTTTCTTACTATAGCCCCCCCCCCCAATCCCACATGGCCTTTGTCCATGCAGGTCCCATGATCTTTTCCGCATGGCTTTGTCTATTCAGGTCCCATGATCCTAAGCATAGTCACTTTTGGTGGATAAAGGGGAACAATCCTTCCTTTTTCTCCAGCAGAAAGTCTGGTGGGATCTAACCCAGTGGCTTCTCTGCATGATTTCCAAAGCAGCTCTTGCAGTGAATCGATACATGCATTTAACACACTATACGCCACTTTTTGCACGCAGGAGTTTCTGTATCATCAGCACAGGCTGTCAAAAGAGATCATTTTCCATATAGAAAAAATCTGAATAGTACGTAAAACAAAATATTAGGAAACTCAAACTCCCCCCCCCAGTTTGTACTCCACACTTTCTTGTACAGCCCACTTCCCAAACCACAAGAATTCTTTAGCCATGTACAAGACCACAGGATTGAAGGAGCCACTCATGAAAGTGCAGATAAGGATGATCTGCAGCGCATTTGTTCAACAGAATGTGTACTTAGAGACATACCCAGATACGCATTGCTTTGGAAACTAAATATGGACAGACATTATCATACCCATTAGGATAACCAAGATCCATTCTTGGATCGGCATCTGAGTTAGGCCCAAGATTCCAACAAATCATAAGCATGGAGAAGTCTGTTTCTGCAGATGGATGCCATCATCACCTGGGCAGGAACAGGAAGAGTGATTGGAACAGGAGGGTAAAAGAGAAATTTCCTTCTCTTTGCCCTGTCCCTCTCTGATTTCAGGGCTGGGACGTAACTAGGGTTGCCAACATCCAGATAGGGCTGCCAAATCGGGCCGGGGGGCGGGGAAACCCCCGCTTTGGAGGTCCGATTTCCGCCACGGCGGAATCAGGCCCCGGGGGAACCCCGCCCCCCAGCGTGCGCATCACTAGGAAGTGACGTGGGCACGCTGGGCACGCTGGGGGCAGGGCCACGGCCATACAAGGGAAAACTCTATGGTTTTTCCTTGTATGGCCGTGGCCCCGCCCCCAGCGTGCCTACGTCACTTCCGGGTGACGTGCATGCGGCGCGCGCACACACTTCGCTCGCGTGCACAAACCCGACACCGGCCAGGAGCCCCCTGCTCCCGGCGAAGACTGATTTGGCAACCCTACATCCAGGTGGGGCCTGGACCTTTCCTGGAATTACAACTAATCTCCAAACTGGAGAGATCAGTTCCTCTGGAGAAAATGGCAGCTTTGGAGAATGGACTTTATTGGCACTCCATCGGTTTGAGGACCCTTTCCTCACCAGGCTCCACCTTCAAATCTCCTGCAATTTCCCAACCCAGCACTGGCAACCCCTGACATAACAACTGAAAAGCTATGAACAAAACAGACTACCTACAGTTTTTTTGTCTGCATTTTCGTGTGTCTGTAACCAGTTTCATAATTGCTAAATGGTGAAAAGTGAGCACTCAACTAGAGCAGGAGAGGGTTTGTGCCAATGTAAGAGATCACCTGTCATTGTAAATTGAGCTAAGAAGGACAGTGAACATGCAAGAGACAAGGTACTTTCCCACTGACCTGCCCCCAGGAGGAATGAAGGGAAAGACACCACTGAGGAGAAATGACAGGAGGAGGAGCTACCTTTTCACTCATCTGTGCACTGTCCCTCCCCCTACTATGTCTTAAAGGTTCCCTTGCTCGAAAGCCAGTCGAGTCCGACTCTAGGGTTGCAGTGCTCATCTCCATCTCAAAGCCGAAGCGCCAGCGCTGTCCGAAGACGTTTCCGTGGTCATGTGGCCGGCATGACTAAACACCAAGGCACACGGAACGCTGTTACCTTCCCACCGAAGTGGTACCTATTTATCTACTTGCAATTTCTTGCTTTCGAACTGCTAGGCAGGAGCTGGAACTAGAGACGGGAGCTCACTCCATCCAGCACACTCGGGTCTCAAACCGCTGAATTACCAACCTTCCACAGCCTGCAGTTCAGCGTCTTAATTACTAGAGCCACTACAGCTCCTTACAATGTCTTACAGATCCCTATATGCACTCAGCCATGTTGACAGCAACATTCCCTGGTTTATCTTCAGTTCTCTTCCTGTTACTATGAGGGTTGCTCTCTTTCTTTCTCTTTAAGATATGCAAAATTGCACACTACTAAAACAGCCAGTGGCGCATAAACAAACAATTATGAATACCAACCTCATAGATAAAATATACTTTCGCTTCAACATAAATCCCCATACGCACTACGGCACGGACTGCTGCATTCATACCTGGAAGGAGGAATCACAGAAAAGAAAAGCGATTATTATTACTAAATTTCAATCTGAAATTCCTTTAACAATGAGTGATTGTTATGAGTTATGTTATTAGGTTACAAATGTGCACAGCAAAAGGACAGTGGAAGCTGGGACAGTATGCTTTGCCACAATGATTACATGACTTGAATCAATGCACTCTTCAGTAGATTTAAGCTGTGTGCACTGGCATGTTTTGTTTATACACAGGCTTTCTGAGCCAGTATGCAGTCTTCTTATGCAGTTCACAATGGATAAACCCAGCTGAGAGAGCCCAACAGTATACCAGCACAAACAGACACTACTCTAGCTGCATAATGCCCGTAGGCAGGGGTCATTTTGTAGAAAAAGAGCTAGGGGAACTCATTAGCATAACTCATTAGCATATGCCACACACCCTGACATCAGGGGCCCGGCGGTGGACCTGCAAGGCCAGCGGGAGTGCGAGGAAGCCCCGCCAAGGCCCTCCCTGGCCCCAGGCAGGCAGGGATGGGGAGAGGCGGGGAGGAAGCAACTTACCCTCCCTCTTCTCCTGCCTCCTCCTGGGTGAATGAGGGCTGGAAGCAGGGCGGCCGGAAGCAGGGGGCGGGGCTTCGTCATGTGCCCCGCCCCCCTGCACCTCACCCGGGGGAACTGCATTCCCCCACGTTCCCTCCCGAAATGACCTCTGCCCGTAGGGATAAAGGTTGGACTTGGATCACACTGACCCAGGTTCAAATCTACACTCAGCCATGAAACTCACTCAGTCACTACCTCTCATCCTGAGCAAGGCGCTAGCCTTAGATGCTACTGGTTCCTCCCGTAGATCCACGACAACATGCTCTTCTCTTAACAAAAAGAGCCATAATTGAAAACTGGTCCCCACAAACATTTCTCCAGATAGAGCCTCTCCGGCATTCTGTCAAGGCAGGGCACTTCAGAAAACAGATTCCCCCCAGCCACTTTCTCCACCTAATGGGAAAGATATCTCTCCGAGGCCGTGAGTCAGAACAGGCACTGTTTCTCTAGGTAGACCAAGTCTGATAAGAGGCAATGCAGCTCAATATGTTCTTATCCCTAACTGTGCCTCATAAATAGTACCTCTAGTAGTAAGGAGAGGGAAAGCTTTGTCTGACTGCTTTGCTTCAAAAACAGTCCTGCAAAACAGGAGCACTTCAAATATGGGGGCTTGTTAGGAAAAAACTTTTCCGGCCAAAGTACCAGAAATTGGGTCACTGACTCACGAGATATTTAGGTTTAGGCCAGTTTGGTTTGTGACTTACCACGTGTGGCAATCATTACACCAAAGTAAATCTGCCATTACATTTTAAAGGCTCACCAGTCAGTTTACAGCTAGTGACTATTCTTACCTAGTCCTCTCTCATACTCTTTCACTAATATAATTTTAATCTGATATTAAGAAATTCCTGCAGCTATAGTGGACATGGGCAGCAGTGTTTTTCTTCTTGTCTAAAGCGATTATAGAGATTCAATTGTTTTGGGAAATGCCTTTCCACTGTCAGTAAAAACTGTTGGGGACTCCAAGTGATTTATACTAACAGTATGACAGCTACCTCAGTGGCTGAAAGCCTAGTTCTATAAGAACTGAAGCCTCTGGATTCATCCTTGATCAAATACATGGACCGAAGAACTTCTAAAAGTGGCAATATCAGAGTCCATAACATCCCAAATTGCTTGGATAATATATGGTTGATGCCTTGTCTAATCATGGCATCTTCCTAATTCATTTACAGACGCACAGACCAGATAGAAATTCGATATGTTCAGAAGAAAACAAACAGGTAGGAGGCACGGCTGAAAGAGATTAATCCCTTTCACCAAAATCCAGTCCAGATCTCTCCTATCAAAGTCTAACCTGATGTTTCTCATCTCCTCCCATAGGGTTACATTGGCTGCGGTCACACGGAGCATTAGCCACGCTACAGAGACGGAAGATAGGCAGATTTTCCGGGCGTGATCACAGCGCAACATCTGGGAAGCGTAGAGCTCCTGTGGCGAACCCGAGGCTTCCCGTCGAAGATGCGGGGTAAAAAACTAGTACCTCCGAGGTACTGGTTTCCGGAAACCACGGGGCAGGGCGGGCGCCTGATCGGGTTTCCGGTGGTAGGTCATGCCATCCGGCGCCCACCAATGTCCCATTGCTAAAAGGTTTTTAAAAAAAGTCTCCATGGGATGCGCACAAGCACCCAACAGCGCATGCGCACAGTTCGTTTAAAAACAAACAACACAGCCCCCTCCTCTTTTCCGTACCCCCCCACTCCTGGCTCGGCTTGCTCGAGAGGAACTCTCTGCACCGGGCGGCAGAGGGGGAGGTGCAGGGAGGGCGTGGCGGGAGGGCGGCCCGGCTGATGCTCCTCCTGAAGGGGTTAAACCCATGGAGCCTTTTGCTAGAGAGGCCACTTCTTTGCCATGCCGCAGGAGTGTCCTGTGATTGGCACCTCCCCCCTAACCACGGGACCTCGACGGGACGTCTGATCACACAGCCGCGCGTTATTTTGCTCCGGGGCAAACAGCCACGCTTCCCCCCCCCCCGCATTTTCCTGCCCGTGTGACTGGGGCCATTGTTTTGTTCTACTACCCCGTTTCTACAACTCCTGCCTTATTTCCTCCTCTCTACCATTCTAAAAGACAGGTATGACTCACATTTCAAGTGCTCAAATGGTCCACTAGCCCTCAATTTCTACCAATAGCCAGGCCAGACAAGAACCAAAAGAAAGGACTTTATCTTCATTTTACATAAAAAAACAACATGACTTATTATACCATGTCTTAAGTGTCTTCAATAACAGAACCTGCACTTATTGATTCAATGGAACCTTCCTTTAATCAAAGCCCCTTTATAGGCCATTAAAAATATAATTCTCACTCCCTTTTAAAAGTTTCCTGCAGCTATGATAAGCTCGTAAGTCATGATTAAAGCTCCTTAACTTGGATCTCTCTAAAGGGAATCCAAAATCCACCTTCCGAGTAGTGTTCTAATTGAACTGCACTTGGCCTACTATCTCTTCTATAATAAGCTTGCTTCCTGATCATGTAAAGGACAGGGAAACAACTGAGTTAATAGGTTTACATTTCCCTCTTCTGCATCTCCACTGTATTAATGAACATCAGGTATTGCTTGGGATCTCTGTTCCTGTTTGACAGCAAGCTAACATAAAGGTTTCAGATCAGATCTTGGGGTTATCTCTTAATCTACTTGCAATTATTTTTTGCCTATTGTCTTTGAGCAATTTTGGCCCCAGTCACACTGCAGAAAAAGCCATGGCGGAAGTGCGGCTTTTTAGAGCCACAGCAAAAGAGAAGTGCGGCAGCGGGATCAGACAGATCCCCCGAGCCGCCTCGCGTATGCTCCCCAGCGTGATCAGATGCCAAGGGGAAAGCCATGGACAGGAGAGCGAGGCGAGTCAGCTGCGCATGTGTGCGCATGCGCAGTTCGGCAGGGGACCTCGTATGCTGCGGGAGACGGGCGCATCGGCGATCACATGGCCGCCCGTGCTGTGGGTTTTCCAGTAGGTAGTAGTAGGTAGTTTTGCAGGGGTTTTTAAACTCCGCATCTTCAGCCGGAAGGGACGGGTTGGGGGCGGGGGCGCGACGCTTGCCAGATGTTGGCATCTGATCGCGCCAGTTTAATCCACCCTCAATCCGTCCGTTCCGCGGGGCAAATCCTCCTGTGTGACTGGGGCCTTTGTTAGTTGTTAGGGCTCAGCCTCAGTGTTTTCCACAAGATGCAGCCATGGAGGAGAGGGGAGATGGTGCTTCTGAACTTTTGTAGAGTGCATTTCTCTCACCACCGGGAACAGGTGCCAAGACTTCTAGGCCAGAGGATACCAGCTCAGTTAGGTTTGAGCCTGGTGCCTCAGTTAGAATTCAAGCATAGCCAGGGCTGGCTTAAATTACATGTCTGATCAAACCAAACGTTTATCAAACTATTTTAATTTCCAGCAGTGGCAAGCTGCCCCAGGAAGCTCACAAACAGAGCATGAAAGTGATAGCTTTCTCCTGTCATTTATTCCCAGCATCAGGTATTCAAAGGTATACTTTATATATTGGTGGGGAGGGTCCATTTAGCTATTGCAACAAGAACCATTAAGAGGTGGATCATATACACCCCCATCACCACTCATATGACAGTGTCATTGGGGGGTATTCACTTCAACCTAAAAAAAAAGGTGGAAGGATAAAAGGAATTTGGCATATTACACAGAGTTATAGGTACTCCTGAATTGCTTAGCTCAAAAGTCCTATTTCACTTTTGTATTTTTAAAAAGAGTATCAGTTGTTCAAATTCAAAAAGGAAAAGCACGGAAATAAATGCACTTTTGCTGAATGAGTACTGCAAGGTCGGACCATCAGTTTGGGGATTCTACTTGTCGGAAATCAGGGGTAAGCATGTAGTGTGGAAAAGGGTTAGGACTTTTGTAACCACTTGCAAGGTAAAGGTAAAGTTTTCCCTTGCTCAAAAGCCAGTCGAATCTGACTCTAGGGGGTGGTGCTCATCTCCGTTTCCAAGCTGCAGTGCTGTCCAAAGACTTCTCCGTGGTCATGTGGCCAGCCTGACTAAATGCCGAGGTGCATGGAGCACTGTTACCTTCCCACCGAAGTGGTACCTATTTATCTACTTGCAATTTCTTGCTTTCAAACTGCTAGGTTGGCAGGAGCTGGGGCCAGAGACAGGAGCTCACTCCGTCACGTGGCACTAGGGTCTCAAACTGTCGAACGACAGACCTTCCAGTCTGCAGCTCAGCATCTTAACCTCTGAGCCACTTCCAACTGCTGCTTAAATCTGAAAAATTCTGACCAGGCTATAATAATGCACAGACAGACACAGGAATCATATCACCACCGTAGCTCTAGGGGGCAAATGAAAGGCTATGTGAAAGCTTTCTTTCATTATTGCTGGTTTCTTCAGTGCTATAATGGAAGCACAGATTGTATCTAGAAGAAAGTAATTATATTACCAGTTCTGGCAAATGAAT